GAACCCCGGCCCCGCCCCTCCAGGCCCTGGCCCCACCCCTTCGCCACCTCCGACGACCCCCATCGGAATCTGGGGCAGGGTCGCCGGGTTAACCATATGAAAATACAGGACGCCCACTTAAATGTGAATTTCAGGGGCCGGCGGGGTGGCCTAGTGGTTAAGTTCGTGCTCTCCGCTTGGGCGGCCCCCGGGTTCACAGGTTCGGATCCCTGGCACAGATGTACACACTGCTTGTCAAGCCATGCTGTGGCAGGCGTCCCACATATAAAGTAGAGGAAGATGAGTACAGATGTTAGCCCAGGGCCAATCTTCCTCAGCAAACGACAAGGCTTGGCAACGGATGTCAGCTCAGGGCTAATCTTCCCCACCAAAAAAAAAGTGAATTTCAGATAAGCATCAAATTGTCATTAAGTTTAAGTATGTCCCGGTATGTCCCGTATCTGAAATGCAAATTTAACGGGATATACTTAGACTTAAAAATGATCCGCTGCTTATCTGAAGTTCACATTTAACTGGCATCCTGTGTTTTATTTGGCAACCCCACCTGGAGCTTCAGAGGATCTGCCACCTGACCTTTACTTCTTAATAGATTGTAACTCTTGGAAAATGTAGCAAAACGTGCATGCAAACTCAGATGTGTTAGGTGCTGAATTTTAGGACTTTCGAGTCGACCACAGCTGATTTCTCTGCAAACCTAGGAAATAAAGGTTCATTGGACTTATTTGCTTAAGTCAACAGGAGACCTGGTTTTCTAATTGCTCTTCCTAATTGTTATGCATATCAAGATTTTCTCTGAACTGTGTGACCAAAACAAGAAAGGAAGGAAGTGGATCATAGAGCGATATGAGTCAGCAAGGGTCATCCATTGTCCTGGAAATTCACATTCTTACATTCCAGGCCGCCTTGCTCCTGTGGGTGATTAACTCTTCAATAAGTAGACGATACGATTTAAACTTAAACTACATTTACAGTCGTCCCCCCATAATCGCGGGGGATACGTTCCAAGACCCCACGTGGATGCCTGAAATGCTGGGTAGTACCAAACCCTCTGTATACTGTGTTTTTTCCTATACATACATATCTATGATAAAAGTTTAACTTATAAACTAGGCACAGTAAGAGATTAACAACAGTAACTAATAGTAAAATAGAACAATTATAACAATACACTGTCATAAAAGTCATATGAATGTGGTCTCTCTCTCTCTCTCTCTCAAAATGTCTTATTGTACTGTACTCACCTTTCTTCTTGTGATGATGTGAGATGATACAATGCCCATGTGATGAGATGAAAGGGGAATGACAGCGTTATTTTCAGACTGCGGTTGAACGCGGGTAACTGAACCAGCGGAAAGCGAAACCACAGATAAGGGGGACTACTGTATACCAGTGCAATCATCTCGCTGCTCACATTCCAGGGGGCTGCGTAAGACTGTTTGAGAAGAGGGTTTTGTTGTTGACAAAGGTCAGAACACCCTGGATAAGATGATCCAAACCAAAGGGCCCCTGGCCGAGACCCTGGTGCCCTCCCCGTGTCCCACCTCTCCCAGTTCACTGTTCCCCCCTTCCTTTTTTTTTTTTTTTGTGAGGAAGATCAGCCCTGAGCTAACATCCATGCTAATCCTCCTCTTTTTGCTGAGCAAGACCGACTCTGAGCTAACATCTATTGACAATCCTCCTTTTTTTTTTTCCCCCAAAGCCCCAGTAGATAGTTGTATGTAATAGTTGCACATCCTTCTAGTTGCTGTATGTGGGACTTGGCCTCAGCATGGCTGGAGAAGCGGTGCGTCGGTGGGCGCACCTGGGATCCGAACCCGGGCCGCCAGTAGCGGAGCACGCGCACTTAACCACTAAGCCACGGGGCCGGCCCCTGCCTTCCTTCACTAACATTCACTGGGCTTCTGCTCCAAGCCAAGCCCTGGAGACCAAGCAGGAATAAAACCAAGCCCTGGTGCCACTGGGTCTGCCTTCCAGGAGAGACACCCCAAACAAGTAAATAAGTAAGACGGAGATAAATGCTATAAAAAGCAGTAAAGCAGGGCAGGGGGAGGGGGCTGTTCTACCCAGGGGGGCCGGGGAGGCCTCTCTGAGAAGGTGACCATGGGTGGAGAAGGAGGTGTGAAAAAAGGCAAGCAGACCAGGCAGAGGAACTGCATGTGTAAAGGCTCTGAGGTAGAAGGGGTCGAGCACGTTGGAAGAACAGCAAGGAGGCCAGCGGGGCTGGAGCAGGGTGAGCCAGGGCAAGAGAGGGGAGCAGAGAAGCAGCCAAGAGCGAGCCCGCGTGGGGCCTCACCAGCCAGGCTGCAGACTAGTGCCCTGCCTCTGAATGTGGTGGTGGCCACGGGAGGGTGTTGAGTGGGGATGTGGTTCTGCCCTGCTGGCTGCTGTGTGGAAGGGGCAGGGTGGAAGCAGGAGACCCTCAAAGAGATGGTGGCACTCAGGTGAGGGGTGGGTAGCAGTGCAGGTGAGAAGGGTCAGACTCGGGGTACGTGTTGAAGGTAGGACGGGGGATCAAATCCAGGGTGTGAGACAAGGGGGGATCACATCTGCCAGCAGGGTTTTGGCCAAAGCCACCGGAAGGCTGAAGTTGCCCTGGGCTGAGGTAGAGGACTGCAGGGAGGAGCGGGAGAGCAATTTTCGGGGTGAGAGGGGAAATGAAGAGCCTGCTTTGGACCTGATGAAGTCCAGAGGTCTTTTCAACATCTGAGGGAGGTGTCAGGACACCGGTTGGCTGTGTGAGTCTGCAGCTCAGAGGGCACCTTGGGGCTGGTCGGGGTCCCCACGGGGCACAGCAAGGACAGGAGAGGGCCGGCCACACGCTGAGCCCCGGGCCTGCAGCCGCAGGGCTGAGGCCGATGAGGGAATCAGAAGGAGCAACGGTGAGGCAGGCGGGGAACAGAGAGTGTGGAGGCAGGAGTCCAGGAAGAATGTGCAAGACCAGACGGAAAATCAAGAATGAGAACCAACTGACCCCTGGATCTGGGGAGGGGACTCACTGGTGGCGGGACAACAGCGGTCTGGGTGGATGGGGGGACGAAGTGTGACTGAAGTGTTTTCAGAAAGAATGGAGGAGAAGAAGAAGAGGCAGTGGGGACCCGGGAGTCTTCCCAGGAGTTCTGCTGAAAAGGAGAGCAAGGAGAGCAAAGAGACCGGGTGGGGGCTGCAGGCCGGGGGCGTGGCGGGATGGAGGACTTCCAGGGTGGGGTCGGGGATGCGAGGAGTAGGAGGGAAGAGGAAATCCAGCCTGCCGGCAGGACCTGAGGCTGGAAGGGACAAGGGACAGAGAGAGGCCCCCGCGCCCCCACGCTTGCCCAGCCCAGCCCCCCTCCTTCTCTCTCCTAGGGAGCCCCCCCTCCAGCCCGCCCTTCTGAACCCACCAGCATGGTGCTCCTGCTGCCCTTGGGGTGGAGCCCAGGCTCATCTCAGCCTCACATGGCCCCTGCCCCCAAAGCCACTGACCACAGGTAGAGTGTTGGCCTCAGCCTGGAGGGGCATGGCCACAAAGTCACGTGACAACTGTTGAGCAAACAGACCAGAATCTGGTCATCCAGTCAAGGCTGGGCTGCTGGAAAGGTTCCTGCAGACCACGCACACACACCTGCTTCACTCTTGCTGATGGTCAGAGCATGGTCTCAGTCTGCCCAGGCTGCCACAGCGAAACACCACAGACCCGGCGGCTTAAACAGCACATGTTTGCTTCTCACAGTTCTGGAGGCCGGACAGCCGAGATTGGGGTGCCAGCATGGTCACTTTCTGGCGAGGGCCCTCTTCCTGGCTTGCAGATGGCCGCCGCCTTCTGGCTGTGTGCTCCCATGGCCTTCCCTCTGTGCAAGCTCACGGCGAGAGGGACGGGGAGCTCTCTGGTGTCTCTTCTCTTAAGGGCACTAATCTCATCATGGGGCCCCACCTCAGGACCTCACCAGACCCTAAGCACCTCCCAAAGGTATCTCTTAACACCATCACGTTGGGGGCTAGGGCTGCTACATATGAATTTTGGGGGGACACACTTCAGCCCACAGCAGACACCCAAAGCCACTTGCAGGGACCATGCCCCTCCCCCACTCCAGGTTCAAGTCCCACTGTCACTGCAGCTCATCCAGGCGCTAGGGGGTTGGAGGGGAGGTCTCTGGGACCCTGCTCTTGGGGCAGCCGGTGGGTGTGTGTGCTGGCCCCACTGAACGCCATTAGGGTTCTCCTGGCCCCTCCTCAGCCCTCAGGTGGCCGGTCACCTGCTCTACTGGCAACGGTCCCAGGGCTGAGTCCCTCCTTTCCTGTTGTGCAAATCCCCTCCCCTCACCCGGTATCCTCAGGGGCTAGAAGGGATTGCAAATAGCAGCACGGTGTCTCTCCTAGTCTCGGGGACCTGCCCCCACCACATGGGGGAAGGAAGCCCAACTTGGGGGAGCACATTCAGCATGGCAGGGTAACACCCCACCCCAAACCTGCTCCGTGAAATTGAACCACCAATGGAACCAAGCTTAGCCCAGCATGGAGAGGCGGCACCCCAAAAACGCCACCGCAGTTTCTCAAATCCAAATGCCACTGGCCCCACCGCACACAATCGATTTAATAAAAAGTTCTTAGGAAAAGCGCCAATTGTAAAATGCAGCCCAATTCAGAAGCATTGAAACGGGAGGAGGGGAGGTGTGTCTATCTTAGAATCCGAG